GTCACTAATCGCTTTCACACTGAGCCTGGGGTGGGGTCACTAATCGCTTTCACACTGAGCCCTTGCTGGTGCTGATGCTGGAGCTCAACAAACCGTCTTACATTCACACTCACTTGGTGCCAAAAGGGTAGAATGATGAGGTCATTGTGCTGCTGTGGGAGGGGCACTGTTTCAGGAGTAAAGACAACAAAGATGGAGGACCAGGTGAGATGTGATGAACGCAAAACTATTTTGAATTTAATGCACATGCTTACATTTTTTTAGCTTGGCAGATAAGTCTAAATAAGCTGCTGCAGACTGAATCCATGTTTGTGGCACAAGGTCAACATTCCTTATGGTCTCATATCATCAAGTACACGCATGACAACTGGTGCGTTAACTATCTAACCTTGTGTTAGCTGATTTTTAATCAGAAGAGCGTATTATATGTGAATTGATAGCAGCTACTATTCAGAGGTGGTTATTTCAGACCCAGAAAACAAAAATCCAAACCAGGATTTTGTTTCAACCAACCGGTTGAGTACTCTATGACTGTGACTCTTTATACTCAACTGGTTAATTGAAACAAAATCCTGGTTTGGATTTTTACTTTCTGGACCTTAAATGTCCGCCTCTGCTTTTATTTCACAGATAGCGTTAGGAAGGAGGTGAATGACTTGTGTTGTGTGAAGTCAATGTTCAATGTACTTGGTGGTATGTTATTGTTCTTTGGTTTAGCCCAACACAGTATATTCAAGATTTGAGAGCGTCCCGCGAGTCATATTAGTACATCTGCTAATGACTTACTCCTGCACTTCAGAGGTCCAACACGAACTACCGTTTGTGTGTTCCAGCGAAAAATCAGGTTGGCAATCGCAATTTGGAAATTTGCTAGAAGCAGTGAATACAGCTGCGCATCGCCATGATTACAGGTCCGTCGGTCACCTTTTTGGGTTAGGCGTCGGCGCGGCGTATCGGGGCGTCCAGGAGGTGCGCAGCCCCATGATTACAGGTCCGTCGGTCACCTTTTTGGGTTAGGCGTCGGCGCGGCATATCGGAGCGTC